GGATGTGGACATTATTAAAGATAAATGTCTCCACCTTCACTTAGCTCCATGTGTCCTCAGCTCTGTCTCAAGTTAGGATGTGGACATTATTAAAGGTAAATGTCTCCACCTTCACTTAGCTCCATGTGTCCTCAGCCCTGTCTCAAGTTAGGATGTGGACATTATTATTGAGACACTGACTCAGACGTTTGTTCTCACATACAGAACCTCCAGAACATGTGAGGGACACGTCCAGTCTTCACTTTGTCTGAAGCTAAGAGACAGAACGTCCAGCAGTGTCACAGGCTGCAGCCTCTAAAATCGACTTCACTTAACCTGAACGTTTAAAACCTTGATGAGCTATAGCACGAGATCACATGAGTTCAAGCTGAGACATCTTCAGGGGACTACGTCTGCAGTGTCCCCTCAGGGACGTACTAATGAGACATGTAGCTCTGCATCCTGTTCTCTGTAACGCTGAGTGGCCATCATGTTGTGTCAGGCTTCCTGTCTGAGAGGGATCGGCTTTCAGGAGGTGATACAAATTATTTTAAAGACAAACTGGAGTAACGAGGATGCGTCTGTCCACTGTTCCTTCTTAAAAGATGCTGTTAAACCGAAGACGAAGACATTTGGCCGAGCTGCGGACTTTTCCTGCTTCGTGTAGAATCACGTGACGCCTCTCTTAGTGTTTGCTCAAGTAAAAACTTCATTCCACAGAATATTATTAACGGATGTCTGTCGTGTGTGTTCTTCAGGGTCCATGTTGGTGGTTATACGTTTGTTTGAGCATGAAAATAGACCAGAATGCATTGCAACAGCCAGGTGGTGTTCTGAGGGGTGTGGCCGTTATCAGTTCCGTGCCTCAGTGTTTGCAGACTGGTTAGACGACCGGCCGAGAGGTCGCAGGAAACTGCGTTCAACTTCCATGTGCAGCTCATGTTTGATTCAAAGAAGTGGAGCTCGGACTGATTGGATGTAGTCAGGGGGCATTCTGGGAAGTGTAGGAACTGAGTGTCTGAAGGAGACGTGATAACAAAGTATATCTGAGACTTATTGTTATTCTTTCTTTCTTTGTCTCGGTTTGACCTCACTGCTGTTGTGTGTGTGTGGGCGGGTCTGAATCAATATACCTTGAGGGCGGAGTCGTGAACACGGACGTTAATTCAAACTCACTTCCTGCAGAGTCTCCTGCAACGCTTGTGTTTTTCTCCAGCTGCCGACTGTTGCGTGTCTGTTGCGTGTCTGTTGCGTGTCTGTTGTGTGTCTGTTGCTGTCAGGCAGTGGTGTTGAGCTCAGTGCTGCTTGAAGTGAGGTGGATTAAGTCCGTTCACTGTGTTGTGAGGTTGTTGTTTCACAATAAGTTTGTTTACTGGACTATAAATGATTTTAATCCTGGAGAAGCTTGAGCAGGCAACACGTTGAAAACACTTTCTCACTAACTTCTGCTAATCGTCTCTGCTTCAGCGGTGAACGTCCCCACAGCTAAAAGTATGAGGTTGTGTTCCCACTTGGCCACAGTCACAACAGATTCAGTGCCTGAGCTCTTTGTGTGATGATGGGGATTTGAAGACGATTCCAACAAATGAGATAAACACTCTTTCAGAGACTACGTCTAGTTTTACGCAGCATTCATTCGCTCCAGTCTCTTTTCCTCCTTGTGTCCTGTCGTCCTCTAACTCAGCTCTGACTGTGCCAAACGTCTGTATCTGCCAAAACGACGCTGGTCTCCTCAGGTGATGACGCAAGATGAGCTGATTGTCATAAAAACCCGACGGCGGCAGATTCATTGTCTAAACTGGCATTTTCTGCAGTGAAGCGTCTCTGGATTAGTAATCTTGACAAAAGTTAGATCTAAATGTGCTTCTGTTCTGTATTTGATATTTCCTGTCTAGTTTATGTCCGTGTACGTTTTTGCAGAAGTTATACGTCATGTCCCGCCTCCTGCTGCTCTACAGGCTCCGCCCCTCGCCTGAATGYTCCCCACACGTTCCTGTTGTTGTGAACGAGTCGATCTGCTGCTTCTTCATGTCTGAGAACAGCTCACGTTTGAGACCCCACCCCCCACCCCCCCAATCAGACATTTGATCTGGAAATGTACCAATAATATCTCATCATTACCAATCCCTGGATCTCAAGTCACTCTCCCAGAATGCATTTCAGGTCTCGGCTCCGGTAACTGTTGCCTTCTCTTCCTGTCCCATATCTCCTGCTGGCCACACTCGCCCCTCCTTGGCCCCAGCTTCTGTGCGTGTCACTGAAATAGATACTGAGCGAACCACTCTGGGCTTTTAACACTTCATCTGGTCTAAATGTGCGTCTGCTTGTCCCTCTGCTTTTTTTCACTCGTCCATAACGTCTCCTTTTCTTCATCCTCCTCCGCTCAGATATCAACCTGAACTCTCCCAACAAGGGCCTCAGTGTGGATCACGCAGACAGTCAGTCAGACATGGTGGTGGAGGGAGCGGTGGGAAATTCAGTCAACCCTCTCCCACCCGGCCTGACGGAGGAAGAGGCGGAGGAGCTGCGCACTGAGCTCACCAAGGTAACGACCGGCCATTCCAACACCACCAGGTGTTAGAGTCATGTGACCTGTGGATGTGTCTTCAAATCCTTTCTTCCTTTTTTATCAGCGAAGATGTTTTTTGTCTATACCTCCAACTACCAGACTTAAAAAGAAACTTTATTTAAAATGAGTTGCTAGGATGTGGTTTTCTTTACATCAGTCACTGTTGTACTAATCATTTATCTTCCTCTATTGAATCAAGATGGAAACTTAATTCGTATAGTTTAGAAGATCAATATCGATCGTCTCCTGTTCTCAAGAATCGATTCTTTAGATTTTCTCACCCAACACATTTTTGGAAATAACTCAATGATGAATTTGCTAATGATTATAAATACACTTGTACACATGGATGAGTTGGATTTGAGTATCTGTGCTTCAGCAGAATGAAAACACAGCACGAGGAGCAGACTGAACTCACTCTCCGGTTGTGTTTCAGGTGGAGGAGGAGATCAACACTCTGCGTCAGGTTTTGTCCGCCAAAGAGAGACACGCCACAGAGCTGAAGAGGAAGCTCGGCCTCAGCCCGCTCAACGAACTCAAACAGAACCTCAGCAAGAGCTGGCAGGACGTACAGACCTCCAACGCGTATGTACTCATCCCTCAGCTCACAGAGATACTTGGTCTAAAAAATGTATAAACATCAGCAGCCAGATTAAATCAAGGTTTGGTTTAAACGCTCATCACACAAAGAGCAGATACTTCAAGTTTAACCAGTTAAGAAAGTTTTCTCTAAATCACATTGTACCAGATTGGTGACTGGAGTCGGTTGGTGAGGAAGATATGAGCATGTTGTCATTTCAAACAGGATAAAATAAAAAGATCATTATTATTATTAATATTATCATGTATATATACATATATATATTTAATAGGAATGTTCTTGACTGACGGTTTCTGGATGTTGCAGAATTATTTTAACCCTCTGAACTCTGCAGTACAAAATGTTCCTCCGGTGTTTACGTTGATATTTTTACTTCCTGTGATGTCATTTCCTGGAGAACCTTTAAACGCTTCTTTCAGCAAAAAGGTTTTGTACTGAAATTGTGTTTCAAAATACAAAAATGATTTAGAACCATGTAATTGTTTAGTATTTTAGATATGAACATTTCTCTGTTGACTGCACACAACAAACGTAAAGACACTACAGTCCATCAGGAGGAAGAGGAAGAGGCCCCCTCCTGCAGGAAAGAAGGAATGTTCTTAATATTGTAGTTCTTATTTTAGATCTATTAAAACATGATCATGCAGATAACTATCTCTTGCAGCCATTTGGGGGAAATTCCCTGCTGCACACAACAAAATATTATTAGGTCATCAGGAGCACACAGCTGACGAGGCGGAGGACTGAGCCTTGATAATGACAATGTTTGTGAATTTAAATCTATTTAAACTTTAAATTCAAATTCTCCTGTAGTGAGTTCGCCCGTGGAACCTCTGCTTCTAGAGGTTTACAGGCGATGCACTGAATCTGAAGGACATCTCCATTTGACTCGATCAGTACCAGGGTTTCTATTGGCACAGGGGACACAGGCGGACAAACCTGATGACTTTGAATGTTTTCCAAAGACGACACATTTTATTTATTAGTCAGATGATTCTAATTGAATTTGTGATCTGCTAACCGAGCCAGCCGGCTCCGAGAGCGCGTTGAAGCAGCGTAACACCCTCGTGTCTCTGTTTCTAGCTTTGTGAGAACCTCTGAGAAATTGGGCGAGTGGAATGAGAGAGTTACCAGTTTGGATCTGTGAGTCCACGCTCTGTTTGCTGCTCGCTCACCGCTCATGACGGGGCTTCTGCAGTGTTTGCTCTCTCACGCTCTTACTTCTACTCACACTCTCGTCTCACCTTCTAACCATGTTTGAGAACGCTAAACATGTCCGTCGTCTGTGTTTGACTTCGTGTCTGGCGGGAGGTCGTTTATCTGTCGCAGGTCTCACCTGTAACCATTATCGGGCACATTTTTATATAAGATGAGTTCAGTCTCGTTCATTTGAAAATATATTTGTCCCTGTTGGGGAACCTGCTGGGATTTACAGAAGGGGTTTAAAAGAAACAGTCTGATACTGTCTGTCTGTAGTTTGAGAGAGAGCCTGGTGTTTACTCTACTACACCTTATCTTCAGCTATTGAATTATGGGGAAGTGTAAATAGTGCTGGGCCTCTGACATCCCCTCATGTGTGTTACACTTCTTAAGATCTTAAATTTACTGAATCCTGCAGGAGTCCAGGTTTATTCTGGAGACCACAGTGTTACCACATCTTGCTGTTTGTGATATGAACGAACACAGTCATCGTTCTCTCTTTCACATGGATCTGCATTAGACTCCTCTGATCACCAGTGATGGAAGCATTAACTTGCTGAGCTTTCGTGATGTTGAACATGACGCACCAGTTTTTGTTTCAGTGTTAATGTGATGAAATACTTTTCATTATTGCATCAAACTAAAAATGCAAGAAAGCTCTAAAGAAATAATGATCAGAGCTGCTTTTCATTTCCAATAGGTGGTCGGCTTTACAATTCTATCTTTACAACCTGTATTCACATTTTCAACTTGGATTTGGAATGTGATGCTTTCAGGTTCAGGAATTAGGAGACACAGGATTGATTTGAATGGAGATCAGCTGTTATGTCTCTTTCTGTTTGTTATGTTTTTTAATCACCATCGTCCATCTGTCCGCTGCTTCCTCTCTCAGACCCCAGGTGTCCGCTGCTTCCTCTTCATCAACATTAGTTAGATCTTTTTCTTTGCATTTGGAAAATAGAGTTTTATTCAAGCTGATTATATTATTTTCTTCTAATCTAATACTTGACTCATCCAGTCATTTAGAAATGTGCTTTATTCTGTTGTTTGTTTTACCTTGAGAGCACAAATCGACCACCTACAAATCTGACTCCGTTAATAAGCACTTACTGGTGTTGTTTGCACGTCACGTAATGAGCCTGAGGGAGGAAATAATGGTGTGTTGAGTGCCTGATGCCGGATGTGGCCGGTAAAAGAGGCAGTTTACGGGCTGGGTCTGAATCTGTCTCTGGGACATGAAGCCCCACAGACGGAAAAATTGAGATAAAAGATATATCTCATTGTCCAAGTCATAGGTTTCATGTGTTTATATCAGAGACAGAGCTCCATTGTGCGCTAATGGAAATTTGCTGGTCACAGTGTTGGACGGTCTAAACTCTGCTCCATCTCAAAAGAGCAAATTAGCTCCATAACCAGACGTCGTGTGCCTGAACTCTTAGTTTCCTCGGGTCGACGTTGGAATAGAGAAAAACAGAATCGGTGAGTTTTCTGTTCATGGCTGCTGCTGTGAAGTCTGAGGCTGATGGAATGTTCCGGTGGCTGCTCTGACATGAACTGGATTGGCAGGATTACAGAAATACGCTTAGCTGACAGTGACGCTGCTCTCTCACACACACACACACACACACACACACACACATCAAAATAAAATAAAATCTGTTCAGAGAAAACAAAGATGAACTCGCTTTTCTCACATTGAAAAAAAGAAAAAAGGAAGATACAAACACTGCCATCTTGTGGTGGTGACGTCATTTGCAGTCAGTCTGTGCAGCAGTGATCGTTGTCCTGTTGTCAAGTTCCCGCCCATACACGGGCTTCGACCAATCCTGAGACAGTCTCCGCTGTCAATCATGACTAACTAATTCAAACCGAACTGAAAGAACGACTTGAACAAACGTCAGTGTGATGAGAACGACCTGAAAGTTTTAGTTTGAAAAAACTGATTTAATCAACGTTATATATCAAAGATTCAGATTCCCTCAGTATTATTCTTGGTTGAGGACAACACACACACACACACACACACACACACACACACACACACACACACACACACACAGTAAGGTGAGTGCTTGTGTCTCTCACCCACATACACACCAGACTTGCTGCTGCAGCAACAAATGGGAGGAGAGGAATGTGAGGGTGAGATGGAGGGAGGGGAGTTGAAAGAGACGGCGTTCTGCTCAGTCATCTGACACGTGAGGCCAAGAGAGAAATGGGTTATGAATTATGAAAAGGTTGGAGCCACAAAGACTCGGAGCGGGTTGTCATGAAAACTGGGCGGGTTAGAGTCAAGAATCAATCACTCAAGTCTGTCGTCTGTTTTACTTGATGATGTTTTCAAGTTTCAGCATAAATCTAAAAAATCTAATTACACCTCAGCAGCTTTTCTTCATCCATCAGTCAAAAGAAAATCTTCGACAAACAAACCTCCAGACGTGAAAGACAGAAACCCTGTTTCTGTTGGACCTGTTGTGTATTTCTACAGTCACACAGTGAAGTGCTGTGTGTGTGTGTGTGTGTGTGTGTGTGTAGTCACTATGTTGTACAGTCAGCAGCATTGTCCTGGTGTGAGTCTGGATATAGAGACGAGCCTTGTCTGAAGGAGACACGTCTAAAACGAGAGCCGTCTCCTGTAGAGCCCGATGTGTCCGTTATGAATCTGTGGACAATGACAACGTCTGAGCTCGAGCTGTCACTCACAGTCAGAGTGTGTCAGGCCTCCAGCAGATGAACGTCACGTCTCCTGTCAGCGTGTGTGTGCGTGTGCGCGTGTGCGCGTGTGTGCGTGTGCGTGTGTGTGTGTGTGTGTGTGTGTGTGTGTGTGTGTGTGTGTGTGTGATTATTAACTGCACTAGTGTACAATTAAAAATGAAATACAGTTCCGTGTGTGTTCGTCAGCTACACGTGTTTTAATCGTTGCGTGGTTTTGTGAGTCTTCAGGAGTCATTTGAAACAGCAGCCGTTTGCTGCCCTATGATTTTGCTTTATGTTCTTCTAATAAAGAAAACGTTTCCCCAGAGTTAAATCTGAATCCTGGCTCCAGCTGCATGCCCACCACAGTGTGATCTCTACTGTACTGTATTGTGAGTGTGTGTCTCTCCCCTGTGTCACGATCCTGCTGTTGTGTCTTCAGATATCTGTCCGCCTCAGCCACTTTGGATGACATTACCCACTCTGAAGCGTGAGTTGACTCCTTTCTCTTTTCTGTATTGTTTCTGTAGATGAGCTAAGCTTTCTTTACTTTGCTCTCTCCTTGTTTGTCACTGTTCTTGCTTTATTTGATTTTATTCAGTTCAGCTTTTGCTTATTCAAAGTGCACATCTTGTTTGTAGTCATGTTAGAGGCAGAGAGAGGTTCAGCCTCGTGTTCGGAACTTTACCAACAAGCATTAAAAGACAAGTTCATTTCAAGAGAAGAAAATACAAACGACAACTACACGAGCAGAATAATATTCATCAGTTACTTTTTTGATTGAACAGTCAGTGATAAAGTTTGACAAAGGATCATGAATATATCTGCTTGGGCTTAAAAATAAAAAAATGGTGACAGTTGTGTGCATCTACGAACATCTGCTGCAGAGACTGTTTGTGTGTGTGTGGGATTTTAGTTTTGTGTGTTTGTGTATTTGTGCCGGTTCAATATTTAAGGAAATATTCTCATTAGCTTTCTTTTCGAGTCACAATGATGTCTGTGTGTTAAACATGATCTCTCACTCTTCAATTGATTAATTATTGTTGTCACACATTTTTAAGAGGACGTCAGAAGTTTTCAGATGTGACTGATCTTCAAAAAGCATCAGAAGGTTGAAAGTGCATTTGCACGTTTCTGGTCCGAGGAACCTGCGGAGATTCACAGGGCTTCCACAGATTCCTCAAAGTCTTAAGAAATGTTAATTGATTTCAAGTCTCCAACATGTTCAGGTACAGGAAGGTCTCATGATGACACTTAATTCCAAATCCTGTGGACTTTAAAATGTTTGTTTTGGCGTTGTGTCTCGTCTGTCACGTCTCTGTGTGTTGCAGTCGTTTCTCAGTGACACAGATATTAACACGCTGTAATAAACCTACAGTCATGAACTGATCGTGTACAAACCCTGGGTCAGAACTGATCTCAGCTCAGCTGCTCTGTGTGAAGACTTTGATTCTGTCTCTGGTGTTTCCAGGGTTTTTCTCTGCGCAGCTACTGCCCCTCGTCATAAACACACAGACTAATATTCCTCCAGACCATAAACTCTTCCGTTTCCTTTGTTCGCTCACAGACGTCTGATGTTGAACTTTTTGTCATGTTTGTGTTGTGGGACTAGATGATGTGTTGAGCAGCTTGTGTGTTTTAGATTTTTGCCGCCGTGTGCTCTCTTCATCTCTGAACATTAACCTGCAGAAGTGTGGAGCTGCACTGGGACTCAGTCTGACTCATATCTATATTAATGCTGGCTGGACTTCTTCGCTGCTTCTGTCCTAATGTCTCAAAAGAAAGATGCTGAAATTAAACAGAAATGTTTTTGGCCACAGTAGACGATCGTCGTCATGACCCGTCCTTCTGTCTGGTTTGTTAACGAACAGAAGAGCTCACGTTGTAAATGGCGGAACATTTAAAAACCAAACATGGAGACAGGAGGTTGGTGGCGTCTGTTAGACGACACTAACCTTCAGGAGCTGAGCAGCTGTGATGGTAGAAACGTCTGTGATGATAGAAACGTCTGTGATGGTAGAAACATCTGTGATGATAGAAACGTCTGTGATGGTAGAAACATCTGT